TTCACAACAGTTCAAACCAAGGTTAGAATGTGATTGGCTTACATTGATCGCGTTAAGGTAAATTCGATTCGCCCATTTTCCGCTTCTCTGCAACCAGTAGGCCATAAAGCAGTTGTTTCGATATCGTGGTCGAAAGCATGCGGCGAATATGATTGAACCACCTCAGATGTCTAAGCAGAAGTATGCAGTTCAGTGAATACACGCCACTGCGTCGGAGCACATCCATGTCGACAGCTTGACCAATTCAGTCGGTGCGCATAGTACGACGCAGACACTTGATAGAAGTGCTCCAGTTGACGGACATCCTTCAGCTAATGTGTTCAGGGTTTGCTGACGTATGGAAAAACGGATAGCACCATTAGTTGTATACCCACAACTTCGTCGTAACAAAGAACTGGTAGTTGTTCCACACATCACATTCCAGCCAAGAAAAAGTTGCAGCCGCATTCGATACGCGGCCGAGCAGCTCGCTCGACATTTGCTAGCCGGATTTGATCGCGCTTCAAAAGTAGCAAAATCTAGGGTGCTTTTCAAAATTTTGTAGATATCCTGGCTTTAGGGCAGGCCAACGGACTCCATTACGAGTAGAGGCAGAAAAAGGCAAAGAGTGTTGCATGTGCTGATGGTGCAAACGAATATGGACCCTGCCGAGGCGAAAACCGAAGTCACGTGCTGCAACTCATCCGTGCGGTGCGTAAAAAACGCACAGTCGGCAGCAACCAGCAACATACGGATAGTTGTCCCACAGACTAGGGTCCTCGCACTGAAAAGACGGATGTTCAGCAAACCAGCATCAATGCGGTGCTCAACACGAATAACGTATTCAAAGGCAGTTTAAAAAGTACAAACCGTTACTACATGAAGGAAATTTTAGACAGAGCAGAAGCTAGGACACAGCCTTACTTCACACCACAACAACTGCAAAGCCATCCAAGGTCTGTCCATTCAGTTGCACTCTGCAGACATCTAATAAGATTACAAATTTACTCAGACACCAAAACTTACCCAACACCAGGTACAATTCCTCGCGATTCGCCGTATTAACTGTGTTGGTGAAATCAACAAACAGCGAGTACAACGGCTGATCTCGATCGCTGCACTTCTCCTGCAAACACCTTGCGGATGGTGCTACGAGCCGAACAGATTCAACATTGCTCTTCCAGTTCCACAACCTGACTGACGAGGCGGTTGACCACGTTTTGGACAATTACCTTGCCCACACAACAAGTTGATGCCATGAGAATTCCTGCAACATGACTTGTTCCCTTTTCTCTTGTACAGTGGTAGCGCAAAAACATCTTCGAGCTCAGGAGGCACATCCTCTTCAATCCACACGCGATGCACCAAATGTTGCAGCGCAGTTACCTACGTGGGTCCGCCGTGTTTCGATACTTTAGGCGAGATCTCTTCGGAACTGACACACTTGCCATTTCGTACTGAGCAAGTACTTTCCGTGGCTTATCTATTGTAGGTGCGTCTGTTTGGGACGTCTTCATCTCTTGTTGTTGCAGCCCGTGCAACACCGTCAATTCAATCACTGACAGTTTGTTTAATAGACAGTCTAATAGATTTTGCCAGATCCTCATTATGTCTGCAGTCCTTGTGCACGCAGCGCCTGAAGTAAAATTGAGCAGCCTTCTCAGCTGACATAACCTATCTTCTTCATCTTCAGGGAGCCAAAGAATTCCTTGTGTTGGCAGCGTTCGGCGTAGCATTCCATTTGCCTCGCCTTCCCCGTCCACTGTGCACATTTTATAAGACGGTGCTCTCTGGTCAATCACCGTCGAGGTTTGCGAAACTGACTATTGTTCCCCAAGTCACTGGGGTCTGGCACATGTGCGGCAAATGCTGCATGCTTCGCTGACACCAATGCACCGTTCGCCGCATTATTTACATCAAACCAATCAAGCCTCTTACAGTTTGCGCGCCCGATGGTCTCCTCGGCCGCAGCTGTCACCTGTTCGAGAATGTGGTGCCACAATTCACGCACTGCGGCCATGCGTTCTACATCACGCAGGCGTGCAGCCGTCGCCTTCTCCAACTCAATATGTTTCTCCACCGTACCGAGAGAGAGAGAATGCTAATTTTATGCCTTCATTTCACGACAGGCACACAGTAGGTAATTTTCCGCGCACAGATGTACAATTTGTTCCGCACCCATTTGTGATCAGTGCTACACTCAGCTCCACGCAGTACATGCGTCACGCATGTTTCACGTATGTCACGCTGACCTTCGATGAAATAGTCGCGCAGGTGAGCGTGACCACTCCGTGGGTGCGTCCAAGTTGCAAACCGAGTGTTCGTGATCGTCAGAACGTGTGTAGCACATAATGAGAGCAGCCTGTCACCGTTCGCATTGGCTGAACCACTGTTATGCGGACCGACGACATCCGTCTACACCGACGCATCACGCCCAACGCGCGCGTTGCAATCACCCAGCGGATATAGTCGGTCGCTCATCCGCACAGACCGTATCGAGGGTGGTAACTAATTGTAGAATTGATCAGGCATGTCATCAGGATAACACATGCTCATAAACTTGGCAAACTTACCTCTTCCGAGTGGTAGGCGAACCTTCATCCGTCTCACGCTGATGCCCGTCGGTTCACCCAACAGGTGGGCATTGAGGCGATCGGATATTGCTAATCCGACCCCATGTTCACGTTATGCTGAGGTGGCGTTGCGCACCAGGTAGAAGGTTTAGCCAGCACCTACTTCATGCAACTTACCTTTCTCAGCGAATCCAGTCTCACTGAGCGCCGCAATATCGATGTTGTAACGCGCCAGTTCCCTCTTGAGCAGTGCAGTGCGTCCTCGAGCGCTCTCTCGAGTTCTGGTCCAGTAGTGTGTGCAGCTCTTTCACGCGATGAAGAGTGCTTTGCGCGCAGGCTTACGACTGCGTCGGCGTACAATCGTGTGTGTGGTGACGGTCTGGATTGCTGGAAGCTGTGGGTTATTTACAAGGTAGACGGGGATGGTATGTGCCTTATGTGCCATTGCTGGTGCGTCCGTTCTTTCTCTCTGAAAGTAGTGAAGACCAGCAGTAACATGTTTTCGGTTATCCACCCAGATGTATGTAGCAGATAAGGCGACTCTTTTCCTAATGTCACTGCGCGACAGTTAATGCTGCTTCGATTCATTATTATTGGCGCAATTCATACTTGGGTGTGCACTAAGTTACTGCCAGCGCATCCGCACCTAAAGGAGAATGACTCAAGTCCTCAGCCAAAGCGTTCGATCACATATACACCCGAAGGGTAGCGGATCGAGCGCCGTTAGTCAGTGAATCAATTCCCGCGGCATTGTGTGTTGTATCTTAGCTAGAAAAATGGTGCAACCCAAGTCCTATCCAGCGGTCACCGACAGGGGTCGTCCAGGACATGAGTTCAGAGCACCAAATTAGCAGCAGCGGGTCGACGATCTGTAAGTAGCTAGCCAAAACCCACGTTAGCGAATCATGAGCTCATCAGCCGGGTGTCTAATAACTGCTCTTCTAAAAGACTTGCGATCCTCTCGATATCGATCTCTAACACACGTAAGGCATATTTGAATGAAAGTATATTTGTGATTGTCTCCCTAAAGGGATCACGACATGCCACGAAGCCCTTCGGTAAAGGTGACAGTGAATCACTATTATGTTCAAAAATGTGCAGTCAGAGCGCAATCCTTGCACTTTAGCTGATAAAACTATTTCCTTTGCTCTTTCTATTGTACTTAGCACACATGTGGTATACTGCCAAGAGCCAAGCTAATAAAAAACGGAAATAGTCGAAGGAACCCTGGAGCTGTGTTGGTGATGCAGTTAAGCAAAGTGCTGGACTAAATACCATGTAAGATAGCCATGGAATTTGTATAAGGCACCGTTATTCTTGAGAATCGTTCTAAACAACAAACGGCTTCAGCTGGAGGCGGTTATTCTTGCTGAAAGACAGTTATCTAAGCCATTTTTATTCTCAAAAAATCAGCTGCTTTAGGGTATAACCAAAGTAGCTTCAGCTACACGTGTATGCATGTATGAACGTGTATGTATGTATGAACGCGTGACCAATAGCACATAACGTTCTTACCCGGACAATAGTCAGATTACAGTGAAGCCAAATAATGCACATTTTACTCAGCGAAACGCTAGGTTTCCAAGGTAATGTTGTATCAGTGCTTTTCACCTGAAACGTATGAGCTATGATGTGCAGTAGCTGGCCTAAACAATACTCCGTTCCTTAACGTAATCCATCAAACACCTTATCAGCGTAGTCGATACATAATCCGGAATTGCTATAGATTTCGGTTCCGATTAACACGAGTGAAAAACAAATCTCCACTGGAGTGAGGGACTTTTGTGCTCTTGGTCGTCCCAAGCAGACACGATTTGAACACATTTTGGTTAATTAGAAAACGTACTAGAGTACCCCGTTAACACATACCGTAAATGCATATTTTCTGTTTGTAAATGACTCGGACAATAAGCGAAAATCGATCCTCAAATCTTGGTTACGAAATAATAAAACAGAAAATATGTTAGAATGAAAGCAATTCGTTCAAAATCTGTATTACTCGGACGACCAGAGCCAAATAAACAGTCATCCACGGCCCACACGGCCAATCGCACTGACTAAAAGTAAACATTTGCTCAAAGGTAAAAACGTACATGTACAGACCAATGATTTTAATGATGTATATTGATATTTACACATGTATTTTGCCTCTGACGGTGAACCAGCCACGCCAAATTGGACGGCTGCCATCCGACTGTGCGGACGGGGTAGAATAAAATTCCATGAGTTACTTAGCATGATTTTTCCAATCTCCTTTTATATGTTGATCAAGGAATTAAAATAATGATAGTGATTATTTTGCATCTGCACGGTGGCTGGAGTCAGCGCATACCAGGTAGAAATCTAAGTTTCATTTACTTCCTAGATCCATACTCAACTCAAATTTTCAAATCTAATTTGGCGGTAGAGTTAACTCAGCATTGATATTTGCGGTTTGTTCTTCTACAGGTTTTGCTGGAGGAAAATTCATAACGTTCAAAGATAAACATTGGCACTCTGAATGTTTTACGTGCACAAAATGCGGCAACTCGCTAGTGGGTAAGCGATTCCTGGTTAAAGAAGATGGTATCTATTGTCCAGAATGTGGCAGATGAGCATATGAAAAAGACGCCAAGAGAGCACACATCAACTCACCTACAAAACCACTTCGACATATTACTTTTGTTTTCATCCTGTTCTTCAGATTTCATGCAAATTTATTGTTGTTCCATGTGCACCTCCAACTCTACTACTTGTCAATTACCACTTAAAGCATCTCTGAAGCTACTCCTTTGACTATTAATCAATTTCACTCTCACCTGTCTGTTGTGTGGCTTTGTTTCCTTCGGTGTTCCATTTCAATTCTCCAACAAATATTTACGTGAGTTGAGCCCCACACTATACTTATATGTTATGCCCACAGATATTGATTACAAGGCGTTTAAAAACTTCTGCATAACTTAGCTATACCAGCGTCCTAAAGATCAAATTTAACAATTAGTACTCTTCTTGAGATATGAGAGAGACTAACGCCGTGCGATTCGACCGTGAAATTTTCACTCCATCGTAGCGGCACAGATTTATTTTGATCGTAATTCAGTAGACCAAACAGTAATTCAAAAGCGGCAATGATCGTATGCCAGTATATTATGCATAAAATAATAGAAGAGAAGCACTTTCGGAGTTCCTCGAATTAAAGAGAAAGCAGCGGTCTCAAAAATTTAGCAATGTACGCAATGAAAACCCACTTGATCATACAACAGTGCCATAAAGGCGAGCTACAAGGTCGCCAAGTTTAATTCACAATGACATGGAATGCAAGAGAGCAGGGTAAATATTGTAGAAAGTGGAAGTCACGATTAAAATCTCCGCACAATAATGTGCCTTGACAGGGAATCGAACGCCGGTCCACCAATTTCCGGCCCGCTGCTCTTCCACTGAGATACCGAGGGCTGACGATTAGATGTGCAAATTTTAACACATGACTTCTGCTTGGTGCGCGACGTATTGCCAATGGGCTCACAGTAACTGTCCCGGTGTTGCAGATTGGCTCACTCACCCGTCACTTCCCAATGGGCTGAGGTATCTGTCCTTCGAATATACAGTAGGCGATGGTAGATTAAATGTGGATGTTTGTGAGTAGGGTAAATATTGAAGAAAGTGAAAGTCACGATAAAACTTCGCGCACAATAATACGCCTTGACTGCGAGTCGAACGCCGGTCCACGAATTTCCGGTCCGCTGCTCTACCACTGAGCTACTGAGGGCTGACGATTAGGTGTGCAAATTTTAACACATGACGTCTGCTTGGTGCGCGACGTATTGCCAATGGGCTCACAGTAACTGTCCTGGTGTTGCAGATTGGCTCACTCACCCGTCACTTCCCAATGGGCTGAAGTATCTGTCCTTCGAATGTCCAATAGGCGATAGTAGATTAAATGTGGATGTTTGTGAGTAGGGTAAATATTGCAGAAATTAGAAGTCACGATTAATATTCACGCACAATAATGTGCCTCGACGGGGAATCGAACCCCGGTCCACGAATTTCCGGTCTGCTGCTCTACCACTGAGCTACCGAGGGCTGACGATTAGGTGCGCAAATTTTAACACATGTCTTCTGCTTGGTGCGCGACGTGTTGCCAATAAGCTCACAGTACCTGTCCTGATGTTGCAGATTGGCTCACTCACCCGTCACTTCCCAATAGACCGAAGTTCCTGTCCTTCAGACGTCCAATGGGCGATGGTAGATTAATGGTGGATGTTTGTGAGTAGTGTAAAGTTCGAAGAAAGTAGAAGCCACGATTAAAATTCACGCACAATAATATGCCTCGACGGGGAGTCGAACCCCGGTCCACGAATTTCCGGTCCGCTGCTCTACCACCTGAGCTACCGAGGGCTGACGATTAGGTGCGCAAATTTTAACACATGTCTTCTGCTTGGTGCGCGACGTGTTGCCAATAAGCTCACAGTACCTGTCCTGATGTTGCAGATTGGCTCACTCACCCGTCACTTCCCAATAGACCGAAGTTCCTGTCCTTCAGACGTCCAATGGGCGATGGTAGATTAATGGTGGATGTTTGTGAGTAGTGTAAAGTTCGAAGAAAGTAGAAGCCACGATTAAAATTCACGCACAATAATATGCCTCGACGGGGAGTCGAACCCCGGTCCACGAATTTCCGGTCCGCTTCTCTACCACCTGAGCTACCGAGGGCTGACGATTAGGTGCGCAAATTTTAACACATGTCTTCTGCTTGGTGCGCGACGTGTTGCCAATAAGCTCACAGTACCTGTCCTGATGTTGCAGATTGGCTCACTCACCCGTCACTTCCCAATAGACCGAAGTTCCTGTCCTTCAGACGTCCAATGGGCGATGGTAGATTAATGGTGGATGTTTGTGAGTAGTGTGAATTTCGAAGAAAGTAGAAGCCACGATTAAAATTCACGCACAATAATATGCCTCGACGGGGAGTCGAACCCCGGTCCACGAATTTCCGGTCCGCTGCTCTACCACCTGAGCTACCGAGGGCTGACGATTAGGTGCGCAAATTTTAACACATGTCTTCTGCTTGGTGCGCGACGTTTTGCCAATAAGCTCACAGTACCTGTCCTGATGTTGCAGATTGGCTCACTCACCCGTCACTTCCCAATAGACCGAAGTTCCTGTCCTTCAGACGTCCAATGGGCGATGGTAGATTAATGGTGGATGTTTGTGAGTTGTGTAAATTTCGAAGAAAGTAGAAGGCAAGATTAAAATTCACGCACAATAATATGCCTCGACGGGGAGTCGAACCCCGGTCCACGAATTTCCGGTCCGCTGCTCTACCACCTGAGCTACCGAGGGCTGACGATTAGGTGCGCAAATTTTAACACATGTCTTCTGCTTGGTGCGCGACGTGTTGCCAATAAGCTCACAGTACCTGTCCTGATGTTGCAGATTGGCTCACTCACCCGTCACTTCCCAATAGACCGAAGTTCCTGTCCTTCAGACGTCCAATGGGCGATGGTAGATTAATGGTGGATGTTTGTGAGTAGTGTAAAGTTCGAAGAAAGTAGAAGCCACGATTAAAATTCACGCACAATAATATGCCTCGACGGGGAGTCGAACCCCGGTCCACGAATTTCCGGTCCGCTGCTCTACCACCTGAGCTACCGAGGGCTGACGATTAGGTGCGCAAATTTTAACACATGTCTTCTGCTTGGTGCGCGACGTGTTGCCAATAAGCTCACAGTACCTGTCCTGATGTTGCAGATTGGCTCACTCACCCGTCACTTCCCAATAGACCGAAGTTCCTGTCCTTCAGACGTCCAATGGGCGATGGTAGATTAATGGTGGATGTTTGTGAGTAGTGTAAATTTCGAAGAAAGTAGAAGCCACGATTAAAATTCACGCACAATAATATGCCTCGACGGGGAGTCGAACCCCGGTCCACGAATTTCCGGTCCGCTGCTCTACCACCTGAGCTACCGAGGGCTGACGATTAGGTGCGCAAATTTTAACACATGTCTTCTGCTTGGTGCGCGACGTGTTGCCAATAAGCTCACAGTACCTGTCCTGATGTTGCAGATTGGCTCACTCACCCGTCACTTCCCAAAGGGCTGAAGTATTTGTCCTTCGACTGTCCAATCGGCGATAGTAGATTAAATGTGGATGTTTGTGAGTAGGGTAAATATTGTAGAAAATAGAAGTCACGATCATTATTTACGCACCATATATTGCGTCAACGGGGAATAGAACCCCGGTCCACGAATTTCCGGTTCGCTGATCTAACACTGAGCTACCGAGGGCTGACGATTAGGTGTGCAAATTTTAACACATGACTTCTGCTTGGTGCGCGACGTATTGCCAATGGGCTCACAGGGTGGTCAGCCGGCGGTCCTTTTCCGCCCTACCAGTGCCAGTACTTGTAGCTCACGACCCAGGTCTGGATCTAACGAAAACTTCAGATAGTGCTAAGTAATGTGCGCAGCCTAAGGAATAAGGTGTACGAGTTAGGTCTGCTTGTAGATGGGTCTCATCCCGATATACTCGCATTCACTGAAACGTGGCTGTCTCAGGACATCACGGATGGTGAAGTACATCTATCTGGCTACGCACTATTTAGATGCGATCGCTCTGCTGGCCGACAGGGAGGGGGCGTCGCTCTTTATGTGAGCTGTAAACTTGACGTTTTGAAGACTTGCTTATTTCAGTCGGCAGACAAAACTGTTGAAGCTCTATCGGCTGTTATTAGCACATCCTCGGCTCAGGTTACAGTTGTAATTGTGTATAGAAGACCTGGGAGCGTATCAAAAGAGGTACTTGAATTCATTCGCTCCCAGTCCGCAAATAAGTGTTTGGTGATGGGCGACTTCAACCTCCCAGAGATTTGCTGGGCAGATCTTTCTTGCGACTCAGCGTCAGGCACATTTGGCGCTGATCTGCTTGAACTTACGCTCCAAGTATCTTTGCACCAGTTCATTGACCTCCCCACTAGGTACATGGACGCCCAAGTACCGTTTATCTTCGACCTTGTATTCGCTAAGTCACTCGATTTTGTTGATGACATTACTTACGGACCTCCACTGGGTTCCAGTGATCATGTTTGTTTGCTCTTCAATTGTACTCTGTCTAGACGCTACCAGAGTACTGTTGAGTCTCGCCCGAACATATGGCAAGCAGACTATTAATCAATGAGAGCCAAGACTTCTGGTTTCCATTGTGAGATCTCTGACGACGATACTGTACAGGTTGCCTGGGATAAATTTAAGTCCTACCTCACAGAGGTCTCTGCTCCCTTCATCCCAGTCAACAAGGCGAAAGGAGGCCCGAGCACAGCCGCTCTGGAAAGATCCCACTGGCTGACATGTGCTCACAAAGAGGTCTAGATGTTGGCGGACTTACCGAGATGCTCCGTCAACCGATACTTATGACAGGTACCGTAAGCTAGAAATAGGTGTAAGCAACACCTAAGGAATGCTCGGCTCAATTTTGAAAAAGGGTTAGCAGACGAAGCTTCAGAGAATCCAAAAAGATTCTTCGCATATGTCAAAAGGCGCTGCGATCCGAACACGTCAATTCCAGTGTTGATGCGTGATGACGGTACTCATGCTCATACGGACTATGACAAGGCCTGCAT